TTGTAGTTCATATTGTGTTGATAACTTTTTTCTTTAATTATTAATACGTATCTAATTTACATGTTCAAATGGAAGTACATGCACGACTCATTTTCATATTGTCATATTACCGACTTGTATGAATCATAAACCATCGTTTTCGTGTTACTTCTTTAAGCTTGATACCAAATCTTTATATTTGTGTAAGTGTTTGCACCCGGTGTTCATAGCGTCGGGGTTTTGTGTTCATATATTTTATACGATATGAACAAGGGTGAACACGATATGAAAGGGGTGAACAACCACATAAGACCAGAAACATATATGAACAATGGATGAACCTTAAACGGCGTGGATGCAATGCATGTATAAAACTCCAATTGACAAATGATCGTTCCTGAATATGTTTATAATGAAGGAACTGTTGTTCACAAGCTGTTCATATCGTGTTCATACATGTTTTTTTATTTATTTYCTTTCGTATAGCAGTTATTCTTATTATGTTCATATTGTGTTTATAAATGATATGCAGCCAAAGTTCATATATATGTCGATTTTTTGTTCGTATTTGACACAATGGTTCATATGTATATAGTTGTGTTCATATGGTTTTACATTAACAAAAATCATATAATTTTTTGATTTTGTAACTCCCAATTAATGATATGGGAGTTACATAAAAAAATTACTTAAATACCCTTTTCAACTTTGTTCACTTATCTTTAAGAAATTTTAAAATTAAAAAAATAAGTTTTTATCATAATTAATTACAACCGTTTATTGAAAGATTGAATGGCCAAGATCGGTTAACAAAGTTAACACAAAAACTTTGGTTAACATTTGAACTTGACCCTATATATATATATAATTTTAGCTTAATTTTAACAGTAAAATATATTCTTTATCTAATTTTAATTTCATAGTTTATACTAAATAATTGAATCATCATTTGATTTTTTTTGTATTTGATGACTTTTTTCGTTTACGATTTAATTTCAGTATACTGATTAACATATATTTATTTTATAATTTGAATATTTTGTATACCTGTAAAAAAAAAATACCTTACAACGATAATAATTCTCACAATTATTATAATTTATAGGTTTCTCAAAGTTATATATTTTTGTATTGTTGAATGATTGTTGTAGTAAATATCATATTTATGTGAAACATCTTTGTTAATATATATGTTTCATTAAATATACACAACAAAAAAGGACATGTTTCTTTGCTTTGATTAGGGTTTTTAAAAATGACAAACGGATTTTTGATCGTCTAATTCTCATCGCTGATGAAAATACGGCATCTTTCACCGTCGATTCTACATGATTGGATCAACATACAACATATTAAGCTCAAATATAAGCAAATAAACCCTAAAGTTCAAAGAGTTTACACCAAATATACATAAACTAACCTACAAAGTTAATACTAAATTAACAAATAAACCGTGACGTCAAAAACTTTAACCTGAATTAACTCTGAAGTTCATGTTAAATTTTATCAGAAAAATTAAGAAGAATCAATCACAAACATGGAGTCAAATGTGTATTTAATAGAGATTAAATATTGCATTCATCATACACGCATACAATTAATATTAAAAATATCTTTTTTTTTCTTTGTGTTAACATTAATAATATAAATAATTATAAAAATATTTGATATTGCTCTCGTTTCGAATATATCAACGGAACCTTTCTAACAGTGTAATTTCTAAAACAAAAGCGTATTCTTTTAGGTGTTGTTTGTTTTTTTTTAAAAAGCTCTTATTTTACCACTTATGTCTGATTCGGTCAGACATAAGGAAATTCAGACTGTTTGTTTTTATTTTTCTTTTAGAGCCACTTATCACTTATTTTCCTCTTAAAAATTAGGTGATAGCCTAGCCACTTATTTTCCTCTTAATCCTGAAAATTATCCAGAGAACCGATTTCTACTTCGTCATTCGATCGACTTCACCCTCCTCATCGTCTCAATAGATTTAGGGTTTTAACAAAGACTCATGGATAGTTTTAAACTATTTAATTGTGGGTAAACAGATTTTTAATTGTTGTAGCAAAATGAGGATACTGTTTGAATTCAGCATCTTCAAATGTCAAGTTCTTTAGTTTGTCAAATCTTTCCAAAATGGTTCTATCTTCTTGTACATAATTAATGAATCTAGTTCGTTTCATCCCGTAGTTGAGATACCGATTTGGGTCACAGGTTAAAACTTAAACCAAACTTCTATTATGGAGCGTGGTGTTCTCTGTACAAAAATATATGTAGAGATTCATATACTTTATAACTTCTTCAACTGCATACTTGATCATTTGTCTCGTGTTATAAAACTAGTATCCAATTTTTTTATGGATGTAATTAGCTTATGTCGGGTTTGTTTTAGTTGCTCAATATATGACCCATTATTGATTTTATTTTATAATATTTATTAGGATTTTATAGCCCACGTGAAAATGTAACACCGTCGACTGTCCTTGGTCACGCGGAACAGGGGGTGTTTACATGTACTGAGAATTAAATAAAAACATAGGATATGTATCAAATTTTAAAAAGGATAACAAGTAACAACACACAAAAAACACCATATATAAATGCAACATAAATATCATCACTTATATTTCATATAGAAGGTAATTTTGTAATACAACTTGATAATAGAGTTCTCTCACATTCACAATGATCTCATCCATGTTTCGGCAGATTCCGATGTTGGTGCCATTGAAGGCGCTGATATTTAAGCATTTGGTGCAAATGCAGGTGTTGATATTTGAGCATTTGGTGTCAGTGCAGGTGCTGATATTTGAGCATTTGGTGTCACTGCAGGTGCTGATATTGGAGCATTTGGTGGCAATGCTTGTGGACTATGAGAATGATGGTGGTGGTGATGATGATGCTTTTCATGCTTATGCTTGTGATTGTGCTCGTGATGGTGATGGTGTTTGTGCTTATGTGAGGGTTCTGGTATCGGAGCTGATGCTGGTGCATTTGATGGTGGAATTGTAAAAGGCACATCTTCACCGTTTATGCCTAGTCTCAAATTCACTAGACTAGCATAAATTTCTTGAAGTTCTTTATCTGAAAGAGTTATATCATCGTTGCTATCAACAATCGCTGATGTTGGAATGAGTCTAGCAATGGTTGTTGTTGTGAGAACCACCATCGCAACAAACAAAATAAATATATCTCTGGAATTCATGATTTATGGATGTTAAAGTAGATGTTATAATGCTAGAAGAGGGGTTTGCTTTTTTATAGGCTGAAAGCCTTAGAAATATAACATATATCTTTTTCATTTATGTAAATAAAGTCTCTATGGATTTATTCACCATCCATAAATGGTCAAAGCAAAATATTTTCTCATTAAATTTTATGAAAACCATCAACAAATTTGAAAATGTTGATTTTCTTACCAAATAGTTATTTTGGTAGTATTAAATTACATAACTCATATGGGGTTATTCTATATACACCCCCTTCTTCATTTTAGCTCCGATTTGGCTCCGGAAAGTACTCTTGGAATCCTCTTTGAATTCTATATTCAATAAGCCTATAGAATCTTGAAATTAAGCTCAAAATATCATATTTCTTCTATCTCTATTGATAGGTCGATTCTTGTACAAACTTGCACTAACTTTTAGAAAAACGTTTTGTTTGCTTAGAAAACGAGTTAAACTACACCGAAAGTGGTTCAATGATAATGCCAAAAATGATGTTATCAAAGATGATAAAGGCATGGGGGTAGGATTGGTGGCAACCGAGGTAGGTGTTGTTATTAACAGACATATGTTTTGTTGTATCCATAACGTCGTTCTTGATGACTTTATTTATTTTGTTCTAATTGATGTTGAAAATGTTTTCGTTCTGATATCACAGCCTCGAGGCATGGGATGGTTATAGGAAACAACAAGTGAGATGCTGCTAGTCCTGCCACTTTTAGCAACCCTCAAAATGCAATGTAGTTAAAATGAAACAATTATTTTAGTTCTCTGCAACTTCTTTTTTTCTTGTCATCAAAACCTCAAATTCCACTGTGTGAACTACGACAATCCATAAAAACATTTTTTGATCATAATATTTTGTTTAATCAATTTTCATGGTGGTTCTAAATAACGAGCTAAGCACTATTTCTCTATGTTTCATGGGGTGAATGAATTTATGTGTTTCATTGTTGGGTTTTGTGTGAGTTCATTTTTTTTTCTTGATGCATATATTTCAACATTATAAACATAAGAAGTAAAAAAGTATCATTGTAATTAAATGTTTGACAGTATAATTACAAATATGACCATTTCCAACCTTTTTTAAGATCATGTTGCACTTGTACCAAGACTACAGATCGACTATACGAGTAATAAATATCTATACTATATTACAAAGCATTTGATAAAAACTCTTAAAAATCATTTTTTATACGTAAAGTACTGTTTATTAATGTATATTATTTAAAATTCAAGATTGCAAGTAGATTGTGTGTAAGTACAACTTATTAACGCTCCATATCTGAATTTGTATAACTAACTGCAGATAAACATAATCAAATACAGGATAAACATCTCATTTTAAATATAAAAAATCTAAAATATAATTAGAATAAT